CGCACTGGGTGGAACTACACAAATGACAAAAAACGCACACACAGCCACCGAAGAGTCTTTTCTTTTTTAGAATATTTTTTTGTATTTTTTTAAGAATAAAAGACAGGTATTTTTAGAAAATATTCAAAAATGGAAAATTAACCAAAAACTGGCCCTGATGTGGACCAAACACAGCCACAAGACAGGGCAAATGAGAGCACACAGCAACAGAAGAGTCTTTTCTTTTTTTGGAATATTTTTGTATTTTTTTAAGAATAAAAGACAGGTATTTTTAGAAAATATTCAAAAATGGAAAATTAACCCAAAAACTGGCCCTGATGTGGACCAAACACAGCCACGAGACAGGGCAAATGAGAGCACACACCAACAAAAGAGTCTTTTCTTTTTTTGGAATATTTTTTGTATTTTTTTTAAGAATAAAAGGCAGGTATTTTTAGAAAATATTCAGAAATGGGAAATTAACTAAAAACTGGCCCTGATGTAGAGCTAACACAGGCAGGAGACAGGGCAAATGAGAGCACACACCAACAAAAGAGTCTTTTCTTTTTTTGGAATATTTTTTGTATTTTTTTAAGAATAAAAGGCAGGTATTTTTAGAAAATATTCAGAAATGGAAAATTAATCTAAAGCTAACACAGCCAAAAGACAGCCAAAAGCACACACCAACAGAAGAGTCTCAAGCCAACCCAATGCAAGTCTTTTTGCTACCGCAACCAAGCCAACCCAAAGCAAGCAGCCCTCCCAGACCTCTCTCCTCCCTCGCCTCCGCGCAACAAATGAGCTCTGCGGCCACGCAGAGCCGCTTTTAAAGGCCTTGCCGGCCAATCAGACACAGCCACGGTGCACTGCTTGGGTGCTTGGGAGCGCCGGATTGGCTCCCAGGCACCAGCATCCTCCATCCCATTTCCGAAACGGGCGGAAGCTCGTTAAAAGGATGGGGGATGCCGCTTCGATATTTTTAAACCCTTCCGGGTTTGAAAATGTGTTTTGTTATCGTTTCGTAAATGCTAAAAATAACGAATAATTAACGAATTAACGAATTAACGAACGAAACCGCCCAGGCCTATTAGATAGGGTTTTCTCATGTCAGGAGCAATTTGAGAATCGCTTCTGGTGTGAGAGTATTGGCCAGCTGCAAGAACGTTGCCCAGAGGATGCCTGGATGTTTGATATTTTACCATCCTTCTGGGAGGCTTCTCTCATGTTCCCACATGGGGAGCTGGAGCTGACAGAGGGAGCTCAACCCACTCTCTCCGGATTCAAACTGTCTTGCTGACACAAGGGTTTAACTCATTGCGCCACTGGGGGCTCTGTTAGATCGCTTGAAAACAGCTAATGCGTAGGAGCAAATGCTATTTCTTTTTAACACTGAGAGCCATTTTGATCTTGGTTTTGTTTGTCTTCATTCTGTTTTTGACTCACAGTGACCCTAAGGCAAATCTCTTATGGGGTTTTCAGAAGCTGAGATTATATGACTTGCTCAAGGTCACACAGTGACTTTCTATGGCTGAGCAGAAAATCAAACTCTGGTCTCCAGAGTCATAGTCCAATACTTCCACCATTATACCATACTAGATATCTCAATACTTGTACACAGAATGACTTATTTGTTACACAAAAATATTTCCAGTAAGTCTGGTGTTATTTGCTAAAGCTCTATTGAAAGCTATGGTAACCATTTACTGAAGTTGAAATTCTAACACACAGAGAGAGAGGGGGAGAGAGAGAGTTTGGTGTGAGTGTTGGACTTCAACTCTGGAGACCAAGGGTCAAATCCCTGGTTAGCCAAGGAACTCACTGGGTGACCTTGGGCAAGTCTTACTTTCTCACTCTGAGATGAAGGCAGTGCCAAACGTCTTCTGAACAAATCATGCCAAAAAAAACCCCTGGGATTAGTCACCTTAGGCTCATCATAGATGGGAAACAACTTGAAGAAACACAACAATGCAGCGAACGAGCGAGAGAGAGAGAGAGAGAGAGAGAGAGAGAGAGAGAGACAAATTGTTGCTGCTGCTTAATCTTTCATTGAAAAATTAGTAAGGTCTACTTTGTTAGCTTAGACTATTTTGTTAAAAGTGTGTCTATGTGTGCATTGTTTGTCTGTCTTACAAAATTATTCTACTTGGTTGCTTATTTTCAGCTGCATGAGTACAAGCCTTCAACCCACCGTATTTTTCGACTGAACAACATTGCAAAAGCTCTAAAATTTTTGGAAGACAGCAATGTAAGTAGTTTGAAAGTTGCCAAATTGTTTGCCATTTTTCTCAGTAAGTGCTCCAAAAAAAGGGTAAAAAAACATGTTATGTCTTACATGACAAATGTACAAGCTGAAAAAATCATGCTTTGTTTAACAGGGAGTCTAAGAGATTGCATACAATATGTAGAAAAAAACTCATTAAAACAAGAATTCCTTTTTAAATGTTGTAATGCAAAAAAAGTTCAACTGGATTAAAGGATCAAGAGGCTTGTATTAAAAGAAAATAATAAGAAATGCATATAATCAGCAAACTCTGAGTAACCAGGCTCAGAGTGCTTTGAAGGTTTGTGACTTGAGTCATCTGGGGTTTTTAAAAGTCTTTTCAGCATCATGAGTTTTATATTTTTCTCCTAAATTACAGTGAAAGCTCATTTGAACTTTGCTCCAAAAAACTGAATCCAGCCATGCATGAATTGTGCAGGTTTGAAGACTGGACATGGTCATAACTGCTGAAAAATCCCCGTCTATATTGACATTCTCATTCAGGGTGTCTTTGTGCAAACTCTTGTGCCCATGGACAGAGCATGAATCATAATGAGAGCATAGTATCTCTACCTTGACTGTCTTGTTAAAAAATGACTATGGAAATACACTTTTTTTTCTTATCACTTCCAATTTCTCCAAGATTTTTTCTCTCTATTGCATGTGATGATATTACCAGGTATGATGGTTGTGGGGGATGAAAATAATATTCAAAAGCATTCAGTCCACTGTTGAAAAAGGTGTTTTTAATTTTGTCAAGGAACCTCTCTGAGAATTATTGCTTCATAATGAGAAGCTGAACTGTTGTTCAGGACTCTTGTTTTTGTTGTTGTTGTTGGCCATGAAGTCACCTACAGCTTATGCTGACCCTGTTAAATGAGAGTCCTCTGAGATTCATCAACTGCCATGCTTTAAATTTATAAACTCACGCTTATAGCTTCCTTGATTGAATTAATCCATTTTTAGTATGGTCTTCCTCTCTCTCCAACTGACTTCCACTTATCATCTTTTGCTTGTTCGGAAATGAGATTTGTTCCACATGCAAGGCCAATGACCAAGGCAGACACCATAACTTGGAGAAAAAAAGGCTACAGCTTTATTTGGTTACAGCTATAGATGGGGGTTGGTCTGACCATACATCTGGATCCAGGCATTGGCCAATCCACCTTTTGATTAATGAAGCCACAGATCTTTTCCTGTGCCAGATCCCCTATGAATGACATGCCCCCTCAGTCACCAGGAGTGTGTGCCAGGTGTGCACCTCTCTGTCTGGGCAAGGTCACCTCCAAACCACACCACCCAAGTTTCCCTGATGGGACCTCTATACAACAATTCCTGGAGTATCCTAATCACCTGGTCCTGGCTCTACAACCCATGCCAACCACCCCTGCAAATTTGTGACAAATTAAAAATATATAAAAGACCCCACAATACATAAGGAGGGTGGGTAAGATGAAGCTCAGAATGAACTCAGGAGAGCTCTATCACCTGCTTAAATCCTAAATCACTTGACTGGTGTGGAAACCCCATCTGGGCCACTCCAGCTGGGTGAGTGGATTGCCTGCTAGCCAATGGACATGCAGCAACGCAGCTGTTGGTCAGCCAAAATCCTATTCAGCCAATGAACCCCCCACAGGTGGCAAGGGTCAGGGAGGAAATATACTACAGTGACAACCATGTGGTGAGATGGCTCTGCATCACTTCCATACAGCAACCTGACTGTCCAGTGTATTGATGTGTCTAAAGTATAACACCTTGGAGTTCTGTGGAGAGTTTCAGAAGTGCTATTCTTTCAGGCGAATATATTTCTAAGCTATGGTTCTATCAAGCCAGTGGAGGCAATGTAGATTGGAAAAGTCACCCGTGGCTGCATGTGAAGCACCGGTTATCCGTCACTGCAGAAAATTAATGTATTTCTTCTCATATGATGAAACATTGACAGTTGAGTTAAAAGTACAATGGATCAGTACAGCCCAGGGAATGTAGTTTTCCTGTAAATTCCCATGGTGTTATACAGGATTGTTTAGCAGGCTGTTATAGGGTTCCTGAGTTCTGCACATGCCATTAGCAACATCACCTTTCACATAGACATAGCTTTATTCTGTTGCTAAGAGCCCCGGTATGTCATAATAAGAGGCCTTGCCTTGCCTTGAGCTTATGTAAGGTGAAGCTGTCCCTAGACCAACTGAATTTTCTGGAGGCCAGATGGAATGACTCGGATTGTCTATTCAACCCTTTCTAAGGGTTCTGTCCACAATCATATATACTTGTAAGTGAGAAGAGGTAAGAAGAGGTAAAAGACTTGGTGAACACTCTATAGACACCATAACCCTTCTGATTTTGAAAGTTCAACAGAATCAACCCTGTTTAGTAGCTGAATGGGAGACTATCAATAAATACTGGGTGCTGTGGGCTTTATTTCAGAACAGGTAAAACCACCTCTGAGGGTCCCTTCTTTGAGAAAAGCCTGTAGAATTCATAAGATACCTATAAGTTAACAGCAGCTTCAAGGCACATACATGCAGAAGGGATTGTAGTGGAGCTAGCCAATACATTCAACAAGCTTGAAGACTAGGGTAGAAATCCCAGCTCAGTCATGGAAACCCACTGAGTGACTCTGAGCAAGCCACATTCCAATGTATGATCTTCCAAAGATTTCTGAATTGGATCTCCTGTCAATCATGTAGGTATGGTCAGTGGTGAAGGATGATGGGATTTGTAGTCTAGCAATATCTGGAATGTTCCCTGTTTCTTCTCAACTCCCCAGGAGAGCTCCTGGGACTTCAGATGTTGTTTGGAAAACAGATGTTTAGAAATATAGCATTGCCAACTTCCCTTAAGGAAGGACTGCTCGGATTATTACAGTTTCCATTCCAATGGGCCAGGGACTGCCACTAAATTTGTGCCCATTAGGTACAATTATTTCTTTCTTGGAAATTTAATAGGGACCAGCATCTAGTGGCTCGAAGCCCCCGGTGGTGCCGTGGGTTAAAGCGCTGAGCCCCTGAACTTGCTGATCGAAAGGTTGCAGGTTCAAATCCGGGGAGCGGCATGAGCTCCCGCTGTTAGCCTCAGCTTCTGCCAATCTAGCAGTTCAAATACATGCAAATGTGAGTAGATTAATAGGTATCACTCCAGCGGGAAGGTAATTGCACTCCATACAGTCATGCCGGCCACATGACCTTGGAGGGGTCTATGAACAACCCCCAGAGTTGGATACGACTGGACAATGTCAGGGGAAAACCTTTAACTTTTATCTTATCAAGGACCAGTACTGGTCCAGTGACCACCACTTTGAGTAGCACAATCTGAAGGTAACAGCTTGAATATCTCTTTCAAAGCATTTTTAAAATCCAGGGCAAGCCAGACTTTCCCCTTATTAATTTGTCAGCATGGGAATAATTCCGATCTACCTGATGTGGTTTCCATAAGTATTAAACAAGACATGGATGGTTATAAATCTTGATATATGCTACAGTGTGAATAAGATGCATGTTCTGTTTTTATTGACAACCAACAACAAAGACTGCAGCTGCCTAAAAAGTTAGTTTATCAGTTGTACTTAGAGGAATAATGCAAGGTTGATGACATCTTACTGATGCCGAGTACTCTTGGTTGAGATTTCCCTTTCAATATTATTTTGGTTGAACCACTCTTAAGAATAAAAGGCACTGAGAAAAATATTTTTCTGATTCCCTTAGCAGCAGAGTTAAGAGTTTAAATATTAAACCATAATGAAAGAGGTGGAAAGGGTCTGTTGTGGTGTGTGTACTTATGCAGAATTCAAAGAAAAGTTATGTATACCTGCTGATGATGTTTTAGCAGGAGGCTGAGCCAGATGTCCATAAGGCCCCTTCCGCTGTATGATGCTTTATATCAACAGCGGGCAAACTTCTTTGTTACCCCATCAAATTTTTCACTCCTTTTTGGAAGAGTACATACTTTCTGTGAGAGGGGCTGGAGTCTACAGTAGACAAGGCCACAGCTTTACGCACACACTTTGGCTACAATCCCACAGTATTTCCATATGTGGGCCTATGGTAGTCTGAATTGTATATCAACAGTCTTCTTTTGCAGCCTCAGAAGTCACTCCATGCCTTGTGAGGGGCAATCAAGGTCAGAGAAGCATCTGCTTATGCTCCTGTAAGCATCTACAGAATGGTTACATTAGTGCTGAGAGACCCATTGAGTCTCCTGGAGGTCTCAGTGCTGCTGTACTAATTTTGCATTTGGATATGGGGACATGTTTCCTACATGGCCGAGGGTCGAACTGGATGGCCCTTGTGTTCTCTTCCAACTCTATGATATGGTAATGAAGGAGTTAAAATGAGGGCATTGCCTCCACAAATAAGAATGTTGTCCCCTCAAAATGACTTTATTTTGTAGTCCCCAAGTTTCTAATATTTCAGTAAAGGGGAGCTTTAGAATTCTTAGTGCTGTGTTTCAATAAGAAACTTCAGTTTGTGCAGGGGAAAGAAAGCCATACACGCTGTCCCTATTCCACACCATCCCAGTATGCTCCAACTCTGCTCTTTCCTTTTTCCCCTGTAAGAATGACTTGATATGCATTTTTTAAAAAAATGTACTGTTGCCCCTGTATAGTGAAAACTTTTAGGGCATCCATATGGAAAATTACATTACGTTAATACAGTTATATGGTCTGCAGATGTAGCTCAAGGGGAGGAGCAAAGTAAAAATATTGTTCTCTAAATAAGAATTCAAATCCCTAGTGAAATTTCCTTCAGCCCCCCCCCCCCCTAATTTCTAGCATTGGATAATGAGTTGTTAAAATCATTCACACTTAGAACTTTAATGTTTGTTATAATCTCATTCCATTGGTAGCTTTCTCCGCTCCATTTTTTCAGTGTCTAGACTGTGTTTCTAAATGCTCAACTGACATTTCAAGTTACTTCAATTCTATAAAATTTGAGATGGAAGGAACATTTCATGGAGGGATGAATTAAGATATGGAGAGCCAATGACCACATTCTCCCAGTGGCTACACCCCTGAGGACAGCTTTCCCCCAAACTGCACCTTTCAGAGCTCCCCCAGCTAGGGCGGAAGGCTGAGCTAGAGAAGGCTGATTTAGGAAATAGCTGAGGCATGATCTTGTCTTCCTAGATATTATTATACTGTCACTGGCAGCAAAGGAACTCTTGCTTCTAGCTGAGCATGTTCTGCCCACAACGAGGGAGTGTTGTATGAAGGCAATGTTCCCTGGGTTTTATCAAGTAGAATGAACCTCTGCATAGCAACTCAAGATCCTCAGGTGGGCTGGCATCCAATATTGTTGTAATATATCTGTAACTGTTCTACAAATTGAGTATTCCTTATATGAAATTCTTGACAGAAATGTTTTCAATCTAGGAATTTTGTATAGTAAAGGTAAAGGTTTTCCCCTGACATTGTCCAGTTGTGTCCGACTGGTGCCCATCTCCATTTCTAAGCCGAAGAGCCAGTGTTGTCCATAGATGCCTCCAAGGTCATGTGGCTGGCATGACTGCATGGAGTATTGTTACCTTTCCAACGGATCTACTTGATCGACGTACATTTTCATGTTTTCGAAACGCTAGGTTGGCAGGAGCTGGGGCTAACAGTGGAAGCTCACCCCACTCCCCAGATTCAAATCAGTGACCTTTTGGTCAGCAAGTTCAGCAGCCCAGCAGTTTAACCCACTGCACCACCAGGGGCTCCTAGGAATATATATATATATATATGGTTTTTGGAGTACCAATACATTCAACTCTCCGCATTTACTAAGGTTAGGGGAATAGATCCCCCACCAAAATTTTAAAAATGCTAATTAAAAACACGTTTTTAAAACCTGAGAGCACATCTCTTTAGGAATCTGTAGGTTCTCCAGCACAACTCTATCATCAGTTTCCAGCAGACAATGAGACACTGGCCATGAAGTCACACCGAAGGACCTAGAGATTCCTAGAGACACCATATTAATCCAATTCACAAATAATCAAATCTGCAAAAGTTAAACCCACAAATGTGGAGGGCTAACTGTTTACCATATCTGCATATACATACATAATGAGATATCTTGAAGATTCGACTTAAGTGTAACATGGAATTCATGTATGCTTTGTATACATACCTCATACGCATACGCAGAAAGTAATTTTATATAATATTTTAAGCAATTTTTGTATGACCAAAATTTGTCTACATTGAATCATTAGGAAGCAAAGTGTCTCTATCTCAACCATCCATGTGGACAATTTTGGATTTTGGAAGATTTCAAATTTCAAAATTGCAGATAAGGGATAATCAATCTGTAATACCATATAGTATTTCTCTAACCTTATGTAAATGGCACCCTAGCCCACCTTAACAGTCAGGAGTTGGAGATCTATTTAGCTTTCTATCAGGGTGCAAGGATGTCCACTTACACCAGTGAATGGGACATGAGAAGTAGGACCTCTGCAAGTCCTTGCAGGGAGAAGCATGGAAACATCCTTCTCTTTGCAACACAAATGGACCTGTCTTGCCCAGACCAGTTGCTGACTCCTAAAATGAGGTCAGAAGGGACCGGATCAAAAGAGATCATTTAGATTTGCAGACATAGCTAAGTTGTCTAAAATATGTAGAATATCGGCAATTATTTTTAAAACTCCTAACTTTTGGTAACTCAGCCTAACAACCAGTGTGTAAAATAGAAGTCAAAATGAAAATATGAAAATACCATAAGTAAGCTAATTAGCTGAGAAGGCCTCCCCCTGCTCCCAAACCCAGTTTGGATTGGAAGTGCATTATGTTCCAAACACCCACAAGCTCAGATGGCACTTTGCGTGAATAATGGTTCCCAATTCACACATTTTGGGTGCCAGAAGGCAGTGTACTACACGGAACCTGATAAATCTAGTACAGCAGCCCCAAATAGGCATAATACAGCCAACTCAAAGGATGCAAAGTATGAATGCTTAATCGCATTAGCATTGAAAAATGCAAAGAACTGAAGGTCAAGCTAGTATTTACACTAATGCATAGCAGTCATGGGTCTTAATTTCTTTCCACTCCTTCCCCTAGTAGTTTGTATACCTTAATAAAACAGTCTTCTGTATTTCCCTACTCAAATTGGTAGAGCTGGGTAAAAAAAACATGGGATGTTCTGGCAGCTGTCCAGTCTGATTTGTGTGAAATTGGCATCCATGCAAATCATAGATCAAGATATTTTTGTATGTGTGCTGGGAGGAAAAAAGAACGGGGCTTTTTTGCCAGCTTTAGCAATATGAATCTTAAAAAGCATTGCCCCAACATGTGATGCTTTAAAACTTTGAGATGCATATTTTTTCAGGGACCATGACTGACACATAGACATATTCCAAAAAATCAGAAAACACCAAGAAATGAATGAAACAAATAAATATGAATGACTTCATTCTGAAGTGCTAGCAGAGATGGAGCTTGTGCAGGTTATTGGAGATGAGACAGATGGGGATGTATGTCTCTCACTCCCAAATGTTCTCCTAGAGTTTTGTCATCTCTTCCCTTGACAATCTTAATCATAGATATTCAAGTAGTCATTGTGAGACTACTTGGATATCAGAACAAATATCGATCTTTGTTCTGATGCTCAAATGTCTCCTTCTGTTTATGGTTAACAGTAGAGTGAGTTATGGGACATGAGTGGAAAACTGAATTGGTGGTAGCCAGCTTTGGTATAACAATGGGTTTAATCCTAGAAGAATTTGTAAAGAATGCTGCTGCTCACTCAGAAGCGACCGAATATAAACTACCCCATATTTACTCGAGTCTAATGTGCCATCGAATCTAATGCACATCTCAATTTTGAGGTGCTCATTTCTAAAAAAAAAATGAATTTCCCTCACCCAACCCCAAATTAAACCCCCAAGTCTTGCTGAGGAGGGGAATGCAAGCCACAAGGGATGGTGCAGAGGCAAGCTGCACGCCACAACAAAAAGCTGAAACCGCCAAGAAGGGGGGGGGGGTCCATCTAAATCTAGATGCTCCTCTCCCCCCTCTTGCCAAACCAGACTTGCTTTGCACACCACTACTGCCGCATTTTTCCGAACGAAGCGCAGAGTGTTTGAGGACCGGGACATCCATAGGGATACCAAGGTGCTTGTGCTGCTATACGCCTGCGAAACATGGATTATCTACAGATGTCACATGCAACTCCTGGAATGATTCCATCAGTGTTGCCTCCGAAAAATCCTGCAAATCTCTTGAGAAGACAAGCAGACAAATGTCAGTGTGCTGGAAGAAGCAAAGACCACCAACATTGAAGCGATGGTCCTCCGCCATCAACTCCGCTAGACCGGCCACGTTGTCTGGATTTATTTATTTATATATCTCACCACCATCTCCCTGAAAGGACTCGTGGCAGCTCACAAAAGCATTCCGCAGTGCAACACACATAAAATACACGACTACATAAGCAAATAAAACAATGACAATATAAGTTGACACAAAAATTTACATGAAACATCATATACAGTACATTTCTATTCCACAGTATAGATAGATTTCTAGAGTAACAGTGAAATGCAGGCATTGTCTCTATTAGCCTTCTCCAGTTCATCACACTCTAGAAGTATTGGACAGCAACTCAGAAAATCCCCAATCACTGTAGCCATGTGTGATGGGAATTGTAGTCTGGTTGGAGAAGTCAGTCCTAGAATCATAGAATCATAGAGTTGGAAGAGACCTCATGGGCCATCAAGTCCAACCCCCTGCCAAGAAGCAGGATTATTGTATTCAAAGCACCCCTGACAGATGGCCATCTAACCTCTGTTTAAAAACCTCCAAGGAAGGAGCCTCCACCACACTCCAGGGCTGTGGAGTCCTATACTTCCTCTGCTGTTTAGACATCACAAATACACCTTCTGTAATTAATGTTCTATTCCTATGTATGTTTTTGTATTGTATATTTTAAATCTTTCAATCTATTTTTAATAGGTAAAGCTGGTTAGCATTGATGCAGCTGAAATAGCAGATGGAAACGCCTCTATGATATTGGGTCTGATATGGAACATAATCTTGTTTTTTCAGGTAAGAATAAAAATGAGACTGTAATTGCTTGTTCACTATTTCTGTGACATCTTCCAACTTCAGCTGAATGAGCAGAATAGGGACTTACAGAAAGGTCAGAGACTGAAATAAGATTTGTGCTCTCCTTTGTATTCCCTTTCTGTGTTGCTCTTTATTGTGCTGGAATTAACAATGCTGTTAAATCTGGGTAAACTGCAAGAATGGATCAAACGCCTGAACCAGGCCCGTAGCCAGGATTTCGTTTCGGGGGGGGGGGGGGGGTGGAGGGGGGGGGGGGGGGGGGGGGGGGGGGCGCAATATTTTTTGCTGCATACATTTCTTTTTGGGGGGGGCCGGCCCCTTGAGTTTTTCTATGGGGGGGGGCTTTTTGAGTTTCCCTGGAGTGGGAAAAGAGGGGTCCTAGCCTAGCAAAACCTTTTTGTAGTCATTTACCCCAATACCCCACAATGGCATATGGGAATGCTATGTGAGTATTTGGTGAAAATCCAGAATTTTTCCCATGATATGAAAATAAACCCCAATAAACAGTTTTAAATAATGCACCAATTAGGCCTTTTTGTGAACCACCAAAACCACCATGGAAAAAATTTTGGTTCCCGGGGGGGGGGGGGGTGGCTTTTTGAAAGCCCCCCCCAAGCAAAATGAAAACAGAAAGAAACCCCCCCCCAGCTACCTGCCTGGCACTGGAACCCTCATTCCTTTTTGTCCTCTCGCTGCTTCTGATTCCTCCCCCCCTCCTCCCCTCGAAATTTGGGGCCTTCTCAATAAAAATGAAATCAGATTTACTTGAGTTCCCCCCCAGCCCTTTACATGGTGGTGGCCCCGTTGGCTCCTGTTTGAAAAATCCCAAGGATCAGATGACTTGAAATTGTTTGTGGTTGGTTTTTTCCCAATTACATGGAATTGTCCCCTGAATGCTGTCCCCCCTAAATAAATAAATAAATAATGCCTAGGGAACAAGATAATCCTCCTCCTCTGGTGCACCTCCCCACACACACTCTTTTGGAATAGGTTTTTTGTTTTTGGCCAACTTCCCCCCCTCGGTTACTGGTTTTCCCAACCTATCCCCATAGTTTTCACCACTCAAAAACATTGGTTAGCCCCCGGTGGTGCAGTAGCCATGGTCTGAATGGGATATGAAAGCCATGGTTAAACGAGAGCTTGGGAGCTCCTCAGAGACATGGGTCTTCCTTCTTCCAGGAGTAGAGGAGTCACAATTCTGTCGAAAAGAACTTTGTACAAGTAATCCCCAAGTTATAAACATGATAGGTTGTGTAGGTTTGCTTTTCAGTTGAATTTGTGTATGTTCGAACAGGTACATTTTGAAAATGCAAGTCTAGTCAAAAATAGATTTTTTTAAGCTTTAGGTAGCAAAGGGAAGGGTAAACATCCTTGTGGTGTTTGTTTTGCTGTCTGTGCCCCTGTTCAGAAGATTTTGCTGCACATTCTGCCCCTGTGACTATTGGACTTTGAAAACATTGGCTTGTTGTGGAAACAAGGATCAAATCTAGAGCCTCGGTGGAGACGCCTTTTCCTCATGATAACTTTCAGGAGTCAATTTCCTTTCCGAGGGGTAGATTTCTCTCACTTCCTGTTGTCTGTAAGTCATATGTAAGTCGGATGTTTGTAACTCGGGGACTACCTGTAGTTGAATCCTTAACCTTGTTATCTAAGAGTGCATTGATATAGCCCAATGCTATGGAACCCTGGGATTTGTAGTTTGGTGAGACACCAGCACTCTTTAGCAGAGAGGGCTAAAGATCTTGTAAAATTTCAGTCTCCATGATTCCATAGCAGCAAGCCAGTTAAAGTCATGTCAAACTGCATTAATTCTATAATGTAAATGTGCCCTGTGTTATACAGAAACCTCTGATGGAAAGGGGGCTACTACACAAAATAAATGGATGGAAGGGGTTGAAATCAACATTGAGTAACATAGAGGCATCCCGTGCTTTCTTCCTCTCAATCCAGCCATCAATTCCTTCATTCCTATGTACACAAGCAAACACCCCCTTAGAATAATAGAACTGGAAGAGACCACAAGGGCCATTCAGTCATGATCAAAGGACTCCCAACAGTTTGCCATCCAATCTCTGTTTTAAAACGCCCAAAGAAGAAGGCTCCACCCCACTCTAAGGAAGCATATTCCACAAGGGTCATCCAGTCCAGCCCCATTACGTCATGCAGAAATACACTATCCACCACACTCTGAAGCAGCATATTCTGCTGTTGAACATTTAATATAATTAGGAAGTTCTTCCTACAACCTAAATGGAATTCATTCTCTTGAAGGTTGAATCAATTGCTCCATATATCCTAGTCTCTAGAGGAGCAGAGACAGCTCCATCTTTAACACGGCATCCTCTCAAATATGTAAATCCACCCCTTATTTTTCTTTTTACACATCTTGTACCACTCTCTTCACTGATATTCCTTCTCTTTATTACTTTCTTTTACATTCACTCACTGATCAACTACTCACTCAACACATACTTTCGCACATTCAGGTATGTACACTTCTCATCCAGTACGCTCTATCCTTCTAATTGTATCCTTCTAACAATTATTCAAATTTATATTTCAGCCAGAGGCATCTTCAATATCTTTTCCATCATTTAAAAATAATAATTTGGGAGAGTAAATATTTGAACATATTGTTGTAAACATTTCATTCATCATTCCAAATGAATTTTCCCTCCTATTTTTCTGGGAAAAAGCCCCCCCCCCCCCCCAAAAAAAGAAAGAATGTTTTTTCTGAATATTTCTATTTCCCCACTAAGCTTTCACATCTCTAGAAACTTGCAAGCATGGCAGCATAAACTTTCACCCAAGAATTTTGCAAATTGTGAAATTTACATAAAAGCAGTCCAAATATGATATCAGGCAATTTTGTTGTTTAGTAAATGAAAGAATGATGGATTTTGGACTGGAATGACAGTTCTTTTCTAAGTGAAATGTACTGTTTGTCCTCACTATGGTGCCAGCCTGCACCTGGCATGTTGTTATTTAGTAAACAGAAGTTAGGCAACCATACTATTCAAGCATGGTAACAATCAAAGGGAGGAGAGGCAAATTAGCGTTGGGTTAGGTGAGTCTGTACAACCATAGTCTCTTGTTGATCTCATAACCACAAAATAAGAAAGCAGGATTTTTAGCCTGCACAGAGCTAGGGATACTACTCTCAGAATTCACGATGGAGTTGCAGGTTTGATAATTCATGATTGTTGATCTACACATGACCAAAACAAAAATTCTCTTGTGCCATTTTCTAGGTCCTTCAGTGTGATTTTGTGGTCAACTTCCAGTTGATATGAATTGATCATTTATAGAGGGGTTCTGAAACTAGGTTGAAAACCAGTCCCTTCCATTCCTATGTTTCCATGAAGTCACGTTGCAACATAATGGGGTCCTAGGATTATTGGTTGCCTATCTTTGCTCTACTAGACACACTTTCTTTTGTAAAGAGAAGGAACATTAACTTATAAAAAGGCCTATTTAGCCTTGTAAAAATTTAAATCTGAATTAATGTGGTCCTAGGATTATTGGTTGCCTATCTTTGCTCTACTAGACACACTTTCTTTTGTAAAGAGAAGGAACATTAACTTATAAAAAGGCCTATTTAGCCTTGTAAAAATTTAAATCTGAATTAATATTGTGCCATCAGCAACAAATGGTTATGCCATTCTGATGTTACCCCGAAAAGCATTTCAAGAGTTTTTCTTGCATTTTTCTTAAAATGGCACAAAGCTTGACCTCAAGAAATCTTAGCCAGAATCAATATTTACAAAGTTTCCTTTTTTGGACTGCAAATCCCAGAACCCACCTACCCCTTCCAGCTTGGTCACATCATGCTTGGGGTTTCAGAGAGTTGTAGTTTTAAAAAAGTAACTGTTATGAGCTCTGGATAGAGTCATACCATCAAAACTTCTGGTTTAAAAGCAGCTGCTCAATTAACCTTTAAAAGCAGACATTATTAAATGAATCTAATGATGGTTATAGAATCCAGCTGCCCAGATTAACATGAACTCCCTTTTTGTATTTTATCAAGGGACAAGTACTTTCAGATGGCATGAAATTGACCGCAGATGACCTCTGGTGTTTAGTTGAGGGCTAGTTTGTACAAACTGACTTTTTTTTCTTGTGATGGCTGCAAGCAGTTACTTGTCTGAAGAATTGAATAGTGTGCTTCCTACCCTGAAAGCAGTGTGGATGAATGATGGATTCTTTGTTTCTGACCCTGACTGTCCTCTCTTCCCTGACAGATTAAGGAACTCACAGGCAACCTCAACAGGAACTCTTCCTCTTCTAGCCTGTCATCGGGGCCCAGTGGCCCTGATTCAGACACCTCCCATCCCAACACGCCTAATGTGGAGAGAAGCATGTCCGTTGGAGTGAAGGATCAGCGGAAAGCCATCAAAGCCATTTTAACCTGGGTTCAAAGGAAAACAAGGAAGTAAGTCTATTCCTTAGGGGGGAAATAATAGAATTTTTCATCACAACTGCACAATATGCTGATGAAAAGGGGAAAGACTTTTGTTTCCCGTGTGAAAAATATTTCAGAGAATAATCTAGTGCCAATAATAAAATAAATTGCAGTTTTACTCATTTCCAGCTAGGTTGAACTTTGCAATGGGATATTCTGTTCTATTCTTTGCCACAATGTTTTGTGTTGATAACAGGAACTGGAACATATTGGGCTTGAGGATTCTGAAATAAGTAGTCAAAAGCAACCTGTTCAAATTCAAAAGAAAACCTTGTTCTCTTTTATTTCCTTGTACAGGCAGTCCATGAGTTACAAACATCTGACTTAGAAATGACTCTTTGTTAAGAATGGGGGTGAGACAACAGGAAGTGAGAGAAATCTATCCCTAGGGAGGGAAACTCACTCCTGAAAGAGTTATCATGGAAGAAAGGTGTCTCCACAAAGGTTTTAGCAGCTATTCTTGATTCAACAGCCAGCCAAAATTTTCAAAATCCATTGAACCCAGGGACTGAAAGTGTGATAAAATCTTCTGAACAGGGAAGGGCACAGCAAAACCCTTCCCTGTGCTATCCAAAGCTAATACTTTATGTCTATATTTTTGGCTGTAGTTACACTTAAAAATGTACCTGTTCCAACTTACATGCGAATTAAGTTCAACTTAAGCACTAACCTGCAGAACCTATTTTGTTCATAACTTAGGGACTGCCTGTAGTTTCTTATAATTTAAAAAAATATTTACACACATGTGTGAACACATACATATGGATTTTTAAACAATGTTTCCTGATATCTATGCAGTAGTTGTTCTTAACTATACCATTCCCTCCGCCTACCCATCCCATTGTAGTGCATAAATCCATAGGTGTGCATGCGTAGTAACATTAGAATAGGTGTGCCTGTTTTTTGTATCAGTTGGAATCTATGATTTAGTTATCCGAAAATCCATTAACTCACTATCAAGAAAGTTTATTTTGCTGCTGTCTTCTCCTTGTGAAAGAAACCAAAAAGAAAGGGCCATGGTATAATCTAGGAGGGGTTAAGTGCCATGGAGAATGCATGAAAATATATATAGACATATAGATATATATGATTATTTTCTAACTAAAAATGCACTTTTTAAAAAACCAGTTGATTTCTCAGCTGAAAAAAAAAGGCTCTTCTGAGCATAAAGCAGCCCAAGGGTGCAATAACGTGGTGAAATTGCATTAGCTCCTGAAAAAAAATTTCATCAAAAATTCTATTTCTATAGATAAATCATCTCACAGAAAGTACCACCAGTGAAACTACTTTGGAGGCCATATATTTTCTGTCCCTGGTATAGTCAAATTAGCTGAGATGCCTGTTTTTTGAAGGAGCCTTATATAAGCTGAATTCTGCCACTTCTTGTCTTTCCCTCAACAACTGACAATAGTATGGATGGACTGTGGATTGGACTATCTCTCTCTTCACCTGTCATTCACAATGCATATGCAAATATAGGAACTCTATTCCAAAATTATTTTTTGGATGGAATACAAAATCTGAAAAACTTCTGGCCCCAAACATTTTGAATAAGGGAAGCTTAAACGTTAATTCTCTGCCTTCAGTGTTGAATTGTAAATTCTTCTTGGTCACTGGTGGTACTTTCTGTGAGATGATTTATCTATAGAAAGCCAAATATAGTCAACTTGAAGCAGTTTCTCTTTCTGAAAGCAATTTCATTGCAATCGTTGTTGCATGTCACAGGAGTTTTGAAGACATTTTCTTTGTCACTCCCTACTTTCTTTAGGTATGGCGTTGCAGTTCAGGACTTTGCCAGCAGTTGGCGAAGTGGCCTTGCATTTCTGGCTGTCATCAAAGCAATAGATTCTAACTTGGTGGACATGAAGCAAGCTTTGGAAAAAACAGCCCAGGAAAACTTAGAGGATGCCTTTACTATTGCGCAAGACCATCTTGGTATTCCTAGATTGCTGGAGCCAGAAGGTAACCTGTTCATATTAGAATGTCTTCCACTTGCACTTTGAATTTATAAGCTCCAAAGGCAGCAATGCAGACAAATCAAGCACTGACCCATTTGGGAACCCTTTGGTATCCCTAAGAGAGCTGTGCTTGTTTTTCTTAATCCTCTAGTGAAAGGGTACTGAGTCATTTCACACATTGCAAGAACTATTCAGCAATTCAACAACAACAGCCTTTATTGCAGAATATTATTTATTCTTATTATTTACAGTATTTATATTCTGCCTTTCTCACCCTGCAAGGGACTCAGGGCGGATTACACTGTATATATACACTGTATATTCAATGCCATAGACACACAACATATATAGACAGACACACAAAGCCTATTTAACTTTCCAGCTTTCATGGGGGTATTCTGGCCACCAGGGGAGCTGTGGCTTCACCGACTATTTTTGACACTGATTGAGTACTTCCTCATTCTTTGCTTGTTTGCTTGCTGGAGATTTTTATGGTGTTGTAAATTAGTTAAATTACCCTCCCCGCATAAGCGGTACCTCTACTTGACAGATGCAACTGTCTTTCAGGCTGCAAAGGTCGACACAAAGCTACACAGAATAGTCGGAAGCTCACTCCAACCCGGGCTGGCTTCGAACTCATGACCTTTCGGTCAGTAGTGATCTTAATGCAGCTGACTCCCAGCCAGCTGCGTCCCAGTTCTGTCACAGTAAAAATATTCGCATTAAAATTATCATACCATTTGAAATATAAAATACAACATGCTAAATCGCACATTGTTAAAAGCAGAATTAAATATTTGTCTACTTGCTATATTCAGCTATTAAGTTCTGTAACTCACTATTGTGGTGCTCACGTTGATAAACTGATGTGTTATGAGCAAAGTGTGGCCTTTTGTTTATGTGGCCACAAGACCCCTCCAAATTTCCCCAGACTACATTTTTTCTGGCAAAATGGGAGTTAAATTGCTTCTTCTGAAAATGTCCACAAATGTTCATCTTTCAAAAAGGTCATGGGGAGTCCTGCATTGCTTAATATTAAAAAATAAAAAGTTAATCAAAACCAGAAGCGGATGCTTTAGGAGAGAAAATTGACCCCTACATCTGCTGGAATTCTTCTTGTAAAAGAAGCAGACAAATTGCTTTGAAACTGAAGAACAAATACTCACCCAACAACATATTCCTTTGAAATATTTCTCCTGAACACTTTGGATAATTGACATTCCTGAAACCCCTTGCTAAAATATATGCTAAAATATGCATTTTGTGTACCACTATATATGTGTGTGGGTGGATGTGGGTGCACCCATGGATCAATAAAATCATACAGATGGATCAATAGAATCTTGTGTGTGTGTGTGTGCTTTCTGGGACATAAGAAGGAAGTGAGGGATCTAGGAGCACTTTTGGGACTAAGGGCCTCATCACACATGAGCATTTTTCCACTTCAATTCACTTCAAATGCTGTGACTGCCTTCTGCAGGATTCTGAGGCTTGTAGTTTAGGGAGGCCCAGGGTTTCTCTGGATGAGCAGTTCAAAGGCCCTTCCCTAAATTACAAATGCCAGAATTCTGCAGGAGGTAGTCACAGCATTTTAATTGAAGTGGAAAATGTTCAATTGTGATGAGGTCCTAAGTGATATATTTCAGCATACATGCTCATGATCATCAAATTCAATTGATGAAGTAGACTGTGGTCCATGAAAGCTTGTGTTGAAAACATTATTTAGTCTCAGAGGTGCTGTTAAGTACTTGTATTGTGGGTTGTTGCAAATGTTTGTCAAGTTGTCCTTGACATATGAAGATCCTGTGAATAAGAGGCATCCAAAACAAACTCTTATTAACAGCTCTGCTCAAATCTTCAGAACTCAAGGCCACAACTTTCCTAATTAAATCAATTTGTCTGTCTTGTGTTTTTCCTCTTTTCCTATTATGACGTATACCGCATTTTGACTGTTGGGAAATAGTGTATGTGCTGGCACAACTGTGCCAGAAGCTAAATTTTATTTTTCTATGCCTGGTTAGTTTGCACGTGTTTCTGTTAGCCAGGCATTTTGCAGTTAAGCAGCTTTCCCCAGGCTGCAGTCATAGGCTAGCAGCCTGCCTACCATCGTTGGGGCTTTTGGAACTGCCCTTTTCGCCAGGTTCAGGAGGGCAAAGGGGGACAGTTTGTTCAGTCTTACAGTTTGAAACCCAACTACAGGACATGTGAGTTTTTTCCTCCTATAGAAAAGCTTCGTTTCTTACAAGCTTGGCTGGGGAAGACAATTCTCATAGCTTTACTAAGAAATACAGCACAGCCCTTGTTGGGGTTAAAGAAACAGATCCACAGCATTTGTGGAAAAAATCCAAAGGACTCCAGCTAGAAAATCTTCAGAGTTTTAGCCTGTAAGGTATACTCAGGTACCCATAAAGCAAATTGGAACCTGGAGTAGGGCCTCATGCCAGCTAAGCCTAAAGACAGATTGCCCAGGTAGGGGTCAAAAGGATTTCCCTCACAGAAGAAAGAAACAGTTCATGAAGCTAGTTGCCTGTCCATTGTGGACAAGTTAAGAAATATTTGGTTGATTTGTTGAAGATCTAAGAAGTATTTGACTGATTTGTTGCACAAATAAAGAACTTTGTTAAACTTTCCAAGCTTCTAAAAACTTTGTATAGGGAAATTCATAGGGCCTCTCAGCCAAGGCACCCCGGCATCCTGCTGGGCACATAAAGATCACGTCCTGTTAATAGACAATTGCTACAGGCCCAGCATGTGACAGCACAGTGTACAAAGAAATTGAACTGTGCTAGATATAAATATATGATGGTGGTTGCAATGCTTGCCTTCATTAACAGTAACTGAGATATAGTAGCTTGCTTCTGTTTTCTTAAATAATGCTTTCCTGCTTCAAAGTAAGCTTATTTCCTGTACAGAAGGGGCCTGTATCTGACTAATATTCACCATGCAGAGAATGAAGGGAAACACCAGAGACGCACTGTATTGGGTGTGTATTTTTATATTCCAGGATGGTGAAAAGTAGTTTTAGTTTGGATGGACTTGGAAAAGAAAATTAAGGCACCATTATGAATCTAATCATAAGATAAAGTTGAGAGCATTAACATTAGGATGAACCTCTTAGTGATAAGTGCTGTTCAGCAGGAGCTTAAATTATTTTGGAGGTTTTAACATAGAGGCTAGATGGCTTTTACTGAGGGATGGTTTAGCAGTCAAGTTTTGCACTTGCTGGAGAATTGACTTGATACTTTTTGGGATCTCTCACATCTATATGATTCTATGATTCCGTAACATGTATATTCCGTATGCTGTCATTTTCACAAGTACACTTTGATTCACAGCTGTTTTTATAAGCCTTAGTCAGTGAGACAATCGTTGTTATCATTTCTCCCCAGACATCATGGTTGAGTCACCCGATGAACAGTCAATTGTGACCTATGTGGCACAGTTTTTGGAGCATTTCCCAGAACTGGAAAGGGTATGTGTTTTCCTTTCCCTCACTCCTAAACTCCCCCTTGCAAGCATAATTCTGTCATAAACACTCTTAGTGATGTTGTAATTTTATCATTTTGAATGGATTTAAAAGCCAAGATGTTTTAATTGCCAGCATTTCTCCACATTGTTTTTTACTTCGCCTACTAAAAATTTGAACATGTCACTGATTCACTCTATTTTTTAAAAAAAGCTATGGTGGTTTTGAGGCCATCTGTGATAGTTAAGATTATAAATTGTCTTATGAATGTTCCAAGACCAATTTAAAAGGCAGTGAATAAATTTTGGAGGCACTCCCCATTGCCATTGTATCTTCAATTACAAATGGATCAGTGAGAAGGAAATAGCAAATATTTGCAATTACCCAGAGACCTTGGAGAGCTACTGCCATTTGCAGTAGATCAATAGTTCTCATCCTCTGGTTCTCCAGGTGGTTATAGCCTCCATTCTCGAATTCATGTTGTTGGTTATGCTGCTGGGAAGACCAGAGTTTGAAAACCACCTTAAAAGACATCCAGATAACTGAATGTTGCTTTTTTTGGAAAGACCCATTGAATTCATGAGGTTTACATAAGTCTTGCCTCAACAGTTGATTCAGGAGGTGTGTACCACTTTGAACTCGCTATTGATTTTAAGCCACTGATTTCTGAACTGACTTAGAACAGAGAGGAACTTGTATGTTACATCCAATCTGGTTCTATGGAATAAGTTACTTTTGGGATAACAAAGCTGTGAGTTAAATTTCAAAAGTAAAATCACGCATAAATGGCAAATTGTTTTATTTAGCTGATGAGTAATAGCTTCTAGTTAGTGACAGTGTGATAGAAGAAAGGAGAAATTATTTCAATCTCAATTCTGAGCTTGCAAAATCCTTGAATAAAGAATTAGTTTATAATAAATGTCTTTTTAAAAAATGAGTATATGTTAATTATTATTTTTATTTAATGTCATTTAGGAAGATTTTTCAGATCTAGACAAGGAGTTTCCGGTTGAATCTACTTATGTCCATCTCAAGGAGTCACCAGGGGATGAAAAACAAGGGAAGGTTTTAATTCTGAATGAAAATGGAGAACACACATATACTCCTGTCCTAAACAGAAGTCACTCACCACCACCCAAAATCCACATCCTTAGCTTACCCCTCGATCAGGAGAACCAAGAACTTAATGATAATCAGGATCACTCACTGTCTAATCATCCAGAGACTTTGAGAGGAGAACTCCAGAGGCCGAGCTCACTGCCCATAACAGAACCTATTGGTTTTCAGCCTGGTCCTAATGCTGACATTCTCACCAAAAATGTGAACAGATCTGAAGGGAATCAACGGAGGATGAGTGAACCCCTGACACACAATGAGGAGAATTCCCCAACCATTCTTATGTATCGCACCCATTCTCTTGAACCAGTTGACACTGAAGAGTCAAAACCAACCAGTGAAACAAAAGAAACACCCGAGAGAAGGACTCGTTCCTTACCTTGGACTTCAAATTCACCTAAAAACGTACAAGAGCATCAAACAAAGGAGCCTGAGCATCCGATTTTAGTTTCTCAAGAGGAAGAGAGTGCCCATAAATATGTATTACAAATGTTGCATGAGGAAATATCAAAGTTTCCAGAAAATCATGAGCCTGCAAAGCAAGTGGCAGACAAGAACAAGATACCTAATTCTTGCCAGGAAATAGATGAGCCTGATTTCAGCGATACTTCTGAGAAATCATGTCCATCTGAATGTTTTTCTTTACCAATCAGAAACACTCCCAAGAGTCTAGATATTACCAGTGAAGATGTGTCAGTGAGTGTGAAGCCACCAAATACTTCTAAAGTTTCTGTAATTCCCCATGACCTCTTCTATTATCCACACTATGATGTTCCCATTTCAGAAGTGCTGGATGCCTTTGCCACACCAAACCAAGACATAGATCCAGATCCGTCCCTTTCAGAAAACAATAAAATCTGTGCTGAGCTCATTGTAAATTGCTTAGCTGACAAAGAGACACATAGTTTAAACTTTGAGGAGGACATTCTTCAGTCAAGTCTATACACCAATACAAAGGATGTGCCAGCAACAATAGAGGATAAAGGACTAGAAAAGCAGAAGAAAGATTCTCATAATCATAAGAAGTCTTCTCAGAACAAGACTGTTCCTGCAGGGAAGAATGTGTGCCTGAAAACAAACAGTAGTGTAGCCTCTGTTCAGAAAGATTCTGGTCACCCAGCTATCCCTGTGGTAATATTTGTTTTTACTCTTGTTTGCATGAATGTATTAACTTTTACTAGAAGCCATCTAGTTAGTTTTTAAGAAGGTATATGATGCTTTAGGCTAACTTGAAGAAGGGGAATCATTTGATAATAAAACTAAAAGCAGTTGAAAACATAAAATAAAAGAATAAAAGTAAACCAAACAGTACAAGACCCCTTTTCCTCAATTGCCTACCTTTAAAGGCCTATGGATTGGTTTGCTTTTCTTGAAAGAATATTAGGAAATCTGTATCATCATTTTGCACATTGTACACCTGGGCTTGCCATCATGTGCATACTTGACAAAGAATTGCAGCTAATCCTGACTTTTCTAATGAGCACACCTCCATGAGAGTTTCAATCAGCCTTTTGGGTATACAATTTCATTTCATTTACTATAGAGTCTTACTTATCCAACCTTCACTCATCCAACATTCTGTATTATCCAACACAGTCTGCCTCCCGCCCGGATCCACAGCTGTTTCAATACATTGCGATGTTTTGGTACTAAATTCATAAATACAGTAATTTCTACATAACATTACCATGTATTGAACTGCTTTTTCTGTTGATTTCTTGTAAATCATGATGTTTTGGTGCTTAATTTGTAAAATTATAACATAATTTGATGTATAATAGGTTTTTCCGTAATCCCTCCTTATTATCCAACATTTTTGCTTATTCAATGTTCTGCCGGCCCGTTTATGTTGAATAAGTGAGGCTCTACTGTATATCCCACCTTTCTCCTGAGATGGACCCAATGTAGCTTACAGCAAGGTTAAAACAAGAAAGAGCTATAAACACGATGGTTAAAAATGCTAAGACATTGTGAGCTACCTTGGCCTATGGTCAGGAATTCTTGGAGTCAAAGTCCAAAACATTTGGAAGACCAGAGTCTGAAAAATACTGAATTAATTGATACGTGTGTTATCTCTTCCTCCAACAAGTGATTGAATGGGTCTAGTCAAAACTAACCAATCAAATGCCAGCCTCTACCAATCTGTTTAGTGTATCTCCTCCATTACTATCTCAAGACTTCCATTTGGCACTGCCACAGTATCACATTCTATATATAGGAAAAATCTACCCAAAAGGAGAAGATCAGCTTAGAGGCAGATAGCATTTTCCATTTGTTATTTGGGGACAAGTTCAGTTTAAAGATAGGGAAACACAAGAAGGGAGCAGAGGGCTTCTTTGAGGTTTCCATCATCAATTAGCATTTGGACAGCAGAAAGAGGAAGTATGTGGCTCACCAGGACACAAGCTTTCCCACTTCGTTAAGATATATAATAGTTCTGTTTAAGTTACTTGTAGAAACTTTTAAAAAAAAGTTTCTACAAGTTTTAATGCAAATTTGAAGTTTTAGTAAGTAGCTATATGGACACTAAAGGATGGTTTGCAGGGCTGTTTGAGAGGGCCTTTTGACATGTAACTCGCAGTATATTAAACTCAGTTTCCTGGAAAGTTACATTTGTTATTGTGACCTAAAATGTTTATTTGCCACTTATCTGTTTATTAGCTGTCTTTTCCAGCCATCTGGTCTAAGTGTTTCAATTATCTATTGTACATAATTTTATTTATTACTGATTCTTTTGTAGCTATGTTTTACTTTTATTGTTTGAATCTCATTTTATATGTTTAGGGGAACTTTATTTTGTGGGGGTAGTTCATACAGAAAATTTTAATATAATTTTCATATAGATAGATATATAGATATTGAGCTTAAATTATTGCTTTATATGCTATTGGTTTTATCTTTTATTGCATTGTGTGTTTATTTTGTGCATTGTTTTAGGCACATTGTGCCATATGTAAGCTGCCTCGAGTCCCTTTGGGGAGATGGAGGGGGGTACAAAATAAATTATTATTATTATTATTATTATTATTATTATTATTATTATTATTATATAAGGTAAAGGTTTCCCCTTAATATTGTGTAAATGTGTCCGATTCTGGTGGGTGGTGCTCTGCTCATCTCAATTTTATAGATGCCTCCAAGGTCATGTGGCTGGCATGATTGCATGGAGAGATGTTCCCACCAGAGCGGTGCCTATTTATCTACTCACATTTGCATGTTTTCAAACTGCTAGGTTGGCAGAAATAGACATATAGACAGATATTATAATCACTAAAATAAGTTCAGCTTAAAAAATAAGCTTGTGTTGTTAAGCTTATATGAAGTTTGGCTTTTAACACTGTTTTTTTAATGTGTGTGTGTGTGTGTATGTATGTGTTATAGATTGTGGTGAACCAGTTTGATATTGCAGTTGAAGAAAAAAAACTGCCAGAAGAAAAAAGTAAAAAGAAAGAGAAACGGAAAAACAAGGCAGTTTTGCAAGGAGAAAACCCCCAGAGTCCAAAAGCTTGCTCTACTCGGTTACTAGATAAGCAAGAAGAAGAACCTGTGGACCATCAGGGACTTTCAAGGTACTCTTTGTTTCTTTGCTTTCTGAGCATAAAACCTGTCTTGCCACTTTCCATGCCTTGTTTCTAGGCAAAGCTTATTTACCTGCCACATCTCATATTTTACTGGGCGCCTTGGAGGAAATCCTAGACAAGTGCTCAGGTGACCAAATGCTTTTTGGAAGGATGTGATCCAACCAATATTCAAGGAACTTTTTGTGCCCAGCTGCATTCACTGACTGTTCCAATGGCTTCTGTCATAGCAACAATCACTCAGCAGAATGGGGCTTTCTCATGAGAAACTCACTCACCTCTTCAAGCACGTGCTTACATATATTTAAAGAAAGTGTGTCTGATTGTTTTGCACAGAAAAAGCATTTGAATATTTCTACACAGAAATATAATGTTCCTCATACACCCAAAAAGAAACCAACAACACTGTTGCCTGTGCAAAAAAATCTTTAATTGGGGATTTCTTCCATTCCAAATTATTGCAAAATATGGTTTCAAAGACTTTGTGGGGAAATCATTCAAAGTGTTTGTTGCTTTCCTTGTAAAGAAATTTAGGGTGTATCTAATCTGTAGAATTAATGCAGTTGGATACCACCTCATAGCAAGCCACGGCAGATAAAACAGTGCCAAAATGTATTGATTCTATAATGTAGATGTATCCTTAGTGAACAATACACACATTGTCATATTGATATAATTCTACTTATTTCCATTTACCTCTATTTTAGTCATTAATTTTCAAGAAATTTCCACCCTTCAGTTTTCCTAGCCTTTTAGTAACTTCGACTCATGTTGACACCTTCTATCTTTCATACTTTTTCTCCTGTAACTTAGTGAGATTTATTTGTATCCTGTCCTTCTCACCTCGGGTGAGGGACTCTGGGCAGATTTATTTTCATCTCATAGTGTTCACTATCATACCCTTTTCTGCCTGCACTCAATACTCCCTCATTTGTGTAAAGAGAAAGTGTGTGTGAGGCGGGGGGTGGGGGGGTGGTTACATAGCAGCAAGTGGCTAGTGGCGGAGAACATGTGGGCTCCAGATGTTGTTGGTGTACAGCTTCTATGAACTCTAACCAATATTTCCAGTGTGATGAATTGTGGGATATAATCTCCAATAATATGGAGCCCCCGGTGGCGCAGTGGGTTGAAGCCCTGTGACGGCAGGACTGAAGACCGACAGGTCACAGGTTCGAATCCGAGGAGAGGCGGATGAGCTCCCTCTATCAGCTCCAACTCCTCATGTGGGGACATGAGAGAAGCCTCCCACAAGGATGATAAAAACATCAATTCATCCGGGCGTCCCCGGGCAACGTCCTTGCAGATGGCCAATTCTCTCACACCAGAAGCGACTTGCAGTTTCTCAAGTCGCTCCTGACATGACAAAAAAAAAAAACCTCCAATAATATACGGAGGGATATGTATTCCTTGGGTCTACAACATCCCAGCATCATATGTGAATGTGGAGATTGGGTCGCTCTTTATTTATTCATTTATAACATTTATATCCTGTCCTTCTCAACCCCTGAAGGGGGATTCAGGGCGGCTTACAATTGGCAATCATTAGATGCCGACAAAGAACAATTGCAGCACAGCAATTAACATAAACAGGTCAACAGTAAAAACACATTAAAACACATTAAAGTACATTAAAAATAATGGCCCTTAAAATATTAACACAATCAAGTCTGAGTCCGCAAATCCAAATCATAGTTCAGAATTCCAGTCCAAGGAATCTTCATTGACAATTCTCACAAGTCATTACAGTTGTTGCTCATCCAGCTGCCCGAATGCTTGGTTTCAGAGCCAAGACTTGAGTTTTTTCCTGAAGGAGAGGAGAGATGGAGTCGTTTTGATTTCACTGGGGAATGCATTCCACAGATGGGTGGCCACTACTGAGAAGGCCCAAAAGCCATTGGCTGATCCACAACACCTTTAAGTTAGGCTGAGTCTGTTCAGTCTTCGTTGTAGAGGATTTTAGGCATCTTGGTTACACTTGAGAAAATACTTTATATGGATAATATGAGTACTCCATACAATACAAAGGTAGGCAATTTATCTATGTATATCCAAATGGAGGAGGCCTGTTTCTTTCATTAACCATTTACAGTTTGCTCCTCTCCATATATACTGGGTTACTGCTACCACTATCCCAGCAACAACACTGGCTAGAAGTGATGGGAAGTATCATCTAGCATATCTGGAAGGCACTAGGTTGGGTACACCTACTTTAGCAGAAGGCTACTTTTCAAATTATGCCATACTTATACAATGTTTTACTTATGTTTTTCAGAATTAGCCATAGTGATCCCAATGTTGTTTTCCAAAGATACGTTTCTGATTCTACCTGTAAGGTAAGTATATGGCTTCTTTTCATTCCTATTAATATTCCTCCAAAATGAGCATTGGATAACATGATGCTAAATAGCCTGGGTTGGTTATACCTAAGATTTTAAGGCCAGTTTGATATATGTTCATCAGGATTTGCTTCCAGGCTATAGGACTGCAGTTTCTGACAGCTGTTTTTTCCCTTGTCTTCTCAGTTTGGTCATCTTAAATCAAGTGAAAAACCATGAATAAAGAAATCACTTTTTTAAAACCCGAAAGAACACCTCTAGGAATTTCTAGGTCTTCCAGCATTACTGTATGAGCAACTTCTGTTGGAAGCTATCCATACAATCACATTGGAGGACCATGAAATTCCTAGAGATGTGTTTTCTCTAGAAATCTCCAGATCTTCCAGCATGACCAGAGAAAGTTGACCATAGAAACACTGGAGGACCAAGAGATTCCTAGAAATTAAATTAATTAATAATAAAATCCATAAAAATCAAAACCAATAATGTAGAGGAATAACTGTATTCTTACAGTTGGCTGGTTGTAGCTGTTGTGGGAGAAAGTAATAGATTATTTCAAAAGTATTATTTCTTCTTTCTTGTGGAAAGAATATAAACCTTAGGTGAGTAATGTGTTTTGTATAACACCATGATTTAAGCATACTGTAATATTCTCTTCACTTATTCACTAGATATCTCTTAAACCTACCAGTTTAGCTGATTTCTTTTTCTGTTGTAAACTTAGCAAATATGCTCTTAACCCAGAGGAGTTGAGAGTCCTTCTGTCTTGATGATTTGTGTAGATGGTTACTTATCGAAGATTGGAGCTTACTTTTGTTGGGCTTGATTAGTCATGGAAATGCAGTGTTTCAACACATGCAATTCCAGTGAATAAGATGGTATCACTAATTACTCTCTGACTGAGATATGGCTGACTAAAACAACACATAGAGATTCAAGGTTAGTGCTGTACGGCTCATGTATTTGTGGGACCAGTACCTGTGCTTTTAGTTACCCGTGTCAAAGTGAATTTTAGGTCTAGACATTTTAGGTCATCCTAAAGGATATTTTAGGTCATCCAGCAGGATCTTATGGTTTACTTCCACCAGACATTGACCAAGGGTTGCACTGGAAGACCTGGGAATGCTAGAGAGGTGTACTAGATATGTTCTAGGTCCTGAATCACAATTCTGTAGCAGGCATGGGAAAACTTCGGCCCTCCAGATGTTTTGGACTTCAACTTCCACAATTCCTAACAGCCTACTGGCTGTTAGGAATTGTGGGAATTGAAGTCCAAAACACCTGGAGGGCTGAAGTTTGCCCATGCCAGTTCTATAGTATGCTTCTGCCAAAAGACATCAATTAAACTGAGTTTGCTGTTATCCACAGTTTTGCATTTCCACAGGGAGTCCAGGAATGTATCCTCCACAGATATAGAGGTCATAGTATATATACTACAGTGGATAGGTAGAATTTCAAAAGGGTACATGCTTTATACATCATGACTCTGAAAACAATATGCCCACACTGTTCCAAAATTCATTAAAGAAGTCCAGCAAAATAGATGGGATCAGATTGTCCTGATTTTATGTAAAATTATGTCAGATACATGACAATTTGATGCACTTGATTGTATTGTTGTTACAGTTATGGATTAAATATTTTCAGGAAAATGGTGGTGCTGATCTACAAATAAGCACAACTGCAAGTGAAAGCACAAATCCTTCTATCAGGTGGGCACTTTTCTCTTCACTTTTGTATTTTGAGTCTTTTTGTATTTAGCTATTTGGTGTGTTCATGTAATAATACTGAGTGCAAATATACTATGTCCTCCCCAAAGCCAAACACTTCTAGTGAGAGAAGGTTCTCCAAGATGGCAGGATGTCTATGAATGGTGCTGATTGGAAGCCACCCATGATTACCAAGAAGTCTTCTTGAAATACATAACAAATACACATGGGTAAAATGCAGCTTTAAAAAATATACCTCCCCATGAGCTTCTGAAATTCCAGATGCTCCTTCTAAAGGATGGTAACAAAGGTGCCACATGCATGGGAGTAAAGAGCATTTCATGTGAAAACAGTCCCCATTTATCAAACAGGCAGCAAGATCCAAAGTAGTGCTTCCAGTCCTGAGCTCAGCCAGTCTGTCCACATTTGTTATCTGTTCTTCTCTCTCTCTTTTATTTCCAGGAAGAGAAAAGACACTGAAAAGAAAGAAGCTCCAGAAAAGTCCAGCTCACATATTACTTCTTCACGGACAGACCAACCTGAGCTCTTTTACTTCATAATTTTCCTCTGGGTACTTGTCTACTGCTTAATGCTCCTTCCACAGCTTGTTAGCAGCGCACATTGATCTCTGTGAGTGAGTCAGAATAATAAAAGATAGCAGCTTGATGTGTTTTGTTTATGTGCCCCCTAAATCCTTCAGGAAAAAGAAACATTAGCCAAAATGGCAAAGTCTGGGTTCAGAGCCTAAAAAGAACCCTGCGGGATCGGACCAAAAACCAATCTAGGCTGGTTTTGTCTTCTCAGGGTTGACAACCAAATTTCTTTGAGGGGCAGGACTTGTGGGTAATAGCACTACCTTGCTCATGTCCCTGAGCAACTGGGATACAAAGATATATTGTGTCATGTACTAGAGGTAACAGAGAGCCATCACTATTTGTAGCCATGGATAGCCAAATTGTCTATGAATCTATTCAGTCTCATTTTAAAACCATTTATATAAGTGGCCTAAAATATATTTTGTGAAGGATTAATTTTTTAGCTATCCTAAAAAACGAATCCTTCACAAAGCATCCATCTTTGTTGGATGCTTCCAAGCTCTACTATTGTGAAAGAAACGTCTCCTTGTCTGCTTTATCCGCACATCATATTTTATACACCTCTATCATTTTCATTTCCTGGGGAAAAAAAACACCCAAGACATTGAGACTTTCCTTGATAGAATTCAGATTTCATTCCAAGAGGGTTCTTAATTTGTTTACTATTGTAACCTGATATATTATGAAAACCAGCACATTTGACTTTGTGTACATATATTATATATTTATATATTGATAGATAGATCTATATAGAATGAAGTCACTGAGCTGATAATTCACAATTTTGTATGTCTGTGCCTTGCTTTATAGAATGCTAAAAATGTCTAATCTTTTAGGGGGAACCTAGATTTTGAGTGTTCTAGTCCTCAAAAATCATTCTTATAATTCTAATTTATCTATAGCCATGAAATCTGCCAAATGCATATGTGTTTATATATGTATGTATGTGGGTTTTTTTAAAAAATGTTAGCTTCCTATTAGATGTTTGTGGTTGGAAAAGGTTGCCATTCCTTGATTAAAATTTATGTGGTTTTTTTAAAAAAATGTGATCTAGCATATTGAGCAATTTAAGTTATGACAGAAAAATCAGAACTGGTCATAGCGCTAGCTACATCAGTAATATGAGCTGTGATTCAAGAACACAGTTTAGCCATCTTGATATTAATGTATATGAAAAGTAAATAGGTATAAACAAAAGTGAAGGAGGAACTTGATTAATTTTCAGTTGAAATGTATAAGGGTTAAATCTTGTGTCTTTGAGTTAGGAATGGGAGGGAGAGTGAGGGCAGAAACCCCTACTTTTATAGATGGGCAGGGGCATCCTATCAATATAGGAAATCCAGCATGGTTCAGTGGCCTGAGGTTGGACTATGACTCTGGAGACCCTTGGGTGACCTGGCCAAGCCACAAAGCCTCAGAAAAACTCATGGCCATGCCATAATCAAAAATGACTTGAAGGCACACAGCAACAATAGTAGCATCCTAATTCAGAAGGTGTTATCTCTCCATGGTATGACTGGGGATCACAGTAGACCTCTCCATTGTTTGGGGGAGCAAGATGCAAATTAGCTTCCAGGTGTTCTGTTTTAGCTTCTAAATAGTGTTTCCTCTTCCCTGGAATCGCAAAAAAAAAAAAAAAAACAAACCTGGAAGTCACTTCTGATCACTACTAAGTGTGGATGTATGGCTTGATACAGATCCAGAAGAGCCAAAAATACCTCTGGTCTGTTGCACATCACTGTGCACATCACTGTTGCACATCACTGTCTACTCAGGACTGGCCATGACACTCCAACCAAAATGCCCATTTGCCAGTACATTTTCTTGGGCTGGTTTAGCCCAAAGATCTTCTCACATCTCTGCTAGCTAAAAACTACAGACAGGAAAGTAAAAAAAAATGGCAGAGGAATTCCAAAGTCCTCCAATTGAGCAACATAGCTCAAATACCAGCACAAAGTTAGGGCAAACTGAGGTACACCTAATGTGATTTCTAGTTTCCCTTCATTCTGAAAAATTTGAGCAGAATAATGCTTCCACTAGCTAATGGCCATCTTGGTGTGATATACTTCAAGCCAGGAACAGATCATTTGTTTTCTTGATGCTGCCATATTAAAAGCAGTGAAAAATTCAATTGAATTTCCAGGATAATTACCCAGCACTAGAACTGCAATATGACTTTATTTGTTCCAGCTGAACTGCAGAGCTGTTCATCTAGATATTCCTACATGAATGTGATCAGCTCAACAAACACAGGCCAGAAAAGCAACTAGTTGTCTTTTGAAGGTTAGGAATGCTCAGAAAAAAATTCGGAATGCCCTCATGCTGGCATTAAGAATGTAAGAAACGTAGTGCTTGATCAGTCCTGGGTCCATCAGGTCACCAGTTTGGCTCCTAGCTTGAGACAGCCAGATGCTTTTGGAAAGCTTAGAAAAGGTGCTTGAAAGCAATAGCCATCTTTGCTCTGTGCATCCGATACTACAAGGCAGACTGCCAATGACATGTCTAGCCAAACTAGATTTAGACTGCAGCCCTTAAGCTCATTATTTGCTTCCTGATAAACAGCTGATCCATACCGTGGAGCTTCTTTTAGACTAAGGATAGTGAACACATTGCTGTTGGACCAAGGCCCATTCTTCTTGTTTGAAATTCTTGTAGCTGGAATATGCTTAAACTTCCTGATTTTCCAGGTTCACTGTGTGATTGATTTGTACCACTACCAGTATAATGAAAAAGATGGAGAATCAGTGACATGTCTACCTCCATTAGAAGTAGTCATATGTAAGATCAAGTATTGGAATGTGACAACTGTTACTGTTGCCTTGGGTTTCCTTGCAATTGGCAAATATGATAACACACTTTTCCCTTTGGGTCTGTCCATGCCATTTCAGATTACTTGATTCATCAAAATCTCCTGAAATACATTCCCAATGCCCAGTCTCTACAAATCATAGCAGTCAGACTCCTTGCTTTCTTTCTACATCACATTAGCTCTGCAGGAAGAGACCTTGGCTGAATAACATAAATTGGTCAATTTTTGTCTCATGCACTTCTGGTTTTGGCCAGCATCCTGATCACCAAAAGAAATTGTTCGGGCGTATTTGTCTACAGCTCTTCCTGCCCCCAAACTGGCTGTGAGTCACAGTGTTTTGTTTAGAATTGGAAGCCATCTAGAAAGAGTAACATGGCACCTTGAACTTGTTTGCCTCGCTGCTTGATGCGACTGATAGGCATCCAAAAAGATTTCCTCTGCCAGGAAAATAAGGATGACTATATATTGTTATTTCCTCATCCCTAGTGTTCCTTTCGCCATTCCAGAGCCATTCAAGCAGGAGATTACTCAGATCAAACCCTGCATAGTTTGCAGCTACTGCCCCAAATGACATGCAGTTGGTAGAACACAAGGGTAGTGAATAGCCTTCCTTCTGTCTCATAAGAAGAAAAATATGTTGCATTTTCTGAAAGAGAATAAATTATTAGACATTGTAAATAGAGTATCCTTTGTCTGAAATGCTTGAGACCAGAAGTGCTTTGAATTTTGTGTTTTTGGGGAGGATTTTTGAATACCTATATTTGCATACGCACACATAATGAGATATTTTGGAGATGGAATCCAAGTCTAAACATGAAATTCATTTATGTTTTATATACAACTTTTAGACATAGCCTAATGTTAATTTTATACATGATATTTTTAATAATATTGTGCATTAAATTTATTTTTATTTATCGTATCACAAGCAAACCAAGGGTACAGTTGTAATGTATTTAAAAACACAAAGTTTAAAAACTTGGCATTATATTAAATGTCCTTTGACCAATAGCTGGCCACTTGGAAGTGCCTCTGGTGTAAGTAAGTAAGTAGGTCTTCCATTGTGCATGTCTGCTCTTCTCCACACTCGCATGTTGTGGACTCCACTTTGTGGCCCCTTTTCTTAAGGTTGGCTCTGCATCTCATGGTGTCAGAACACAATCTGCTCAGCACCTTCCAAGTTGCCCAGTCTTCTGTGTGCCCAGGGTGAAGTCTCTCATTCAGTACCAGCCATGGCTCGATATTCTGAGTTTTTGCCTGTCACTTTTGGACTCTCACTTGCTGAGGTGTTCCTGTAGAAAGCAAAGATGCCACTATCTCATCTGTTAGGAATTGTGGGAGTTGATGTCCAAAACACCTGGAGGGCCCAAGGTTGCAGCTAAAGCCTGCATTAGAGTCTGCTTTAGCTGGAACTAGCAATTGCATTAAGTTCTTAGGCTCAATCCCTATCAGCGCCATCCAGAACAGCCCATAATGGCTAAGATGTAGGGAGTTGTGTAAAAACTTCAGGCTATGTGTATAAGATATACATGAAACGTAAATGAATTTAAGGTTTATGCTTGTGTGCCATCTTCATGATATTTCATTATATACATGAAAGTATTCCAAAATCTGAAAAAAAAATCTAAAGTATGGAATACTTCTGGTCCCAAGCATTTCAGATAAGTGATTCTCAGCCCATACAACCTGAACACATCCACTGTCCCAAATGTTCTGTGGATCTCTTGAGGTGCCCATGCAGGACTTGATTGTTGTACATATGCTGTTCAACTATATTGTAACTTTGGATGCAAATGTTAATGCCCTAAATAAAAAATACAACTCCCCTTTGGGGTTTCCTCGCCCACTGGATGAAACCAACAACTTATAGTAGTTAAAGCAAACTGCTGCTGTTTCTCTTAGCTTGACTGCTTTATTCTCATTAATACCTTTGGCCATCTTGACCACACTGATGCTGCTCAGTAGAAGGAAAACAATAAGCACAGGAGTTGCAGTTTTACAAGGTCTGTAGCCAAATAGTGCTGGTACCTTACCAAAACTCCAACTCCAACGATTCATTAGCATTTATCCATGGCAATTAAAGAGTGATGCCAAACTGCATTAATTCTAGAATGTAGCTGCAACCTGCATCAACCTAGCCACCCTAAAAAGAGCAGCCACTAAAAAGGCCCTCGCTTAGACCTTGACAAGACATATCTCCAATGGTGATGGGATTGAAAGAAGGGCTGCCAATGAAGACCTTTAAACTTAGACAGAGGTCTAAACTGCCTCATCCTCCTTGGAGGAAAAGTGGGATAGAAATATAATCAACAAATAGAGTTAAACCATCTTCTGGATAAAGGTACAGTATTGCACACCATTTTCCTTCTCCATTGTACACTACAGTTCATGTATTAGGTTGGAGTCCTATACGCATTTCCTGGGAAGAAAGACAGTCTGAATTTCCCAGGACATGTGACTAAATGTGAATAGGACAGTACTGTTAATGCTGATTACTTGAGTCTATAAACTACTACTACCATTTGACTTAATTTTTACTTTGGTCAGGGACATATTTGAACATTTTTCTTGAGATGGGACAATCTAAAAGATGGATTTACTAAGGAAAGGATGTATTTTAAAGCACAGAAACAAGTTAGCACATTATGTATTTCGGGTATATTTTCCTAGACAGATCTATACACTGAATGTTTGCACTTAGTCTCTAAAACATTTTTTTTATGTACAGCTGGAACAAAAAGCAAAGAGGATGGGTTTTTGAAGGGCTGGTGAATGGTTATTTTTTAAATGATACAATAGTGAACAGCTTAAAACTGTATTTTCTAATGCCACAAATTTTGAAATAAATTGATGGATTTTCTGTATGAGAGGGATTGTGTCTGTGTACTTTTTTCTGAGGTATAATTGCAAAGTACTGGTCATTTAAGGAGGCTGGTGGCTTTTCATATAATATTTGTGTAAAATTGAAATAATTCTGGGGAAAGACAAATATACAATATTCTACGTTTCTGATTTTAACTATTTGTGGATTGGATTTAAATGTGCTTTCTAGGAATCTGTAGGCCCTCCAGTGCAATATTGTAGTTAACGTCCAGTGGAAGTTGATCATATAGCAGTGCTGGAGAACCGAAGGATTCCAAGAGAAGTGTTCTATGAGATTTAAAAATAGTGTTTTGTTTTAATTCAGAAACCTGAGAATTGCAGTTCAACAATATCTGGAGGGCCAAACAATGTCAACATTTCCCACTGTAACTATCATTGTTGTTGTTTATTTGTTCAGTCGCTTCTGACTCTTTGTGACCTCATGGACCAGCTCATGCCAGAGCTCCCTGTTGGCCGTGGCCACCCCCAGTTCCTTCAAGGTCAAGCCAGTCACTTCAAGAATAACATCCATCCATCTTTCCCTTGGTCGGCTCCTCTTCTTTTCTCCTTCCATTTTCCCCAGCATCATTATCTTCTCCAAGCTTTCCTGTCTTCTCATTATGTGGCCAAAGTACTTCATCTTTGTCTCTAATATCCTTCCCTCCAGTGAGCAGTCGGGCATTATTTCCTGGAGTATGGACTGGTTTGATCTTCCTGTGGTCCAAGGCACTCTTTGAATTTTCCTTCAACAC